TGCCTTAAATACAAGGGTGATTTTGGACGAGTACATGCACATTGGATACCAACTGAGGGATACTGCCCTTGCTATAGGTGTTCTCATGAAGCCTGACTGAGCTTTTTCTTTGCTTCAAACTCCCTCACATGCTCTCTCTCCCCCTGATGGAGTAATTCTGAGCTCAGAGTTTGTGAGTTCACACCTATGATGGTGAAGGTAAGCAGTAATGACTAGGTCTCACTTAGCAACGTCCTAGCAATGCCCTGGGAGTATTCCAGTCAGGCTTCATGAGGTACAGTGCATCCAGAAAGTATTCACAGAGCTTAACTTTTGCCACATTTTGTTATGTTACAGCCTTATTCCAAAATGGATTAAATTATTTTTTTTCCTCAACGTTCTACAAACAATACCCCATAATGACAACATGAAAGAAGTTCGTTTTGAAATCTTTGCAATTTATTAAAAATAAAAAACGAAAAAAAAATGTACATAAGTATTAACAGCCCTTGCCATAACACTCAAAATTAAGCTTTGGTGCATCCTGTTCCCACTGATCATCCTTGAGATGTTTCCACAACTTGATTGGAGTCCACCTGTGGGACATTCAGTTAATTGGACATGATTAGGAAAGGCATAAACCTGTCTATATAAGGTCCCACAATTAACAGTGCATGTCAGAGCACAAACCAAGCCATGAAGTCCAAGGAATTGTCCGTAGACTTCCAAGACAGGATTGTATCAAGGCACAGATCTGGTGAAGGGTACAGAAAAATTTCTGCAGCATTGAAGGTCCCAATCAGCACATAACAAAATGTGGCAAAAGTTAAGCGCTGTGAATACTTTCTGGATGAACTGTATGTAAAAGACGTACACCTATAGCAAGGGCATTATTCAACTTTAGTCAGAGCTGCACAGTTTTGTTTTTATATACAGGTGCCCCTTATCTGCAAAGGTAGTTTTGTGGTAAAAGTAAACTATCCCTTTAAGCACTAAGCATGTTTGTTTAACTTTAGACCCAGAAACAATTATTCACAATTTATTTGCTGTTGGATTGTAGATATTAATTTGACATTATTTGAACAACTGAAGAGGAGGATGGTGCAGTGATGGTTTATCTATGTTCTTAATGATAGCAAAGTGTCAGAAAAACACAAATAAAAAGAAAGCAGACAGACCTGGCTAACTTGTCTGATAACAGAAAAATTCTGCTGAATGTTCTCCACTAAATTGCCCCTCATTTCTTCAACCACCTTGAACACCCGCTTGAAATTGTCAAACTATACAAGAAAAAAAGAAGAAATCTTTAACACAAATATTAACGTAGTAGCAGAGTATACAATAGTAGATTATAAAAGTAATGTACCTGTCTCCTGCAGCTTTTCAGGGTCACTCCAGTCTTAGCACTTATGTCATCCAGATCTTTTTTAGTTCCTTTTGAAAGCTTTTTACCAAGAACTTCCCGGACAAAGGCTTCATCAAATGCATAATACCTACAAGGGAATCAAGCTACATTCAGCAATCAAAATAGTGACTACAATTTGGATAAAATGGTCATCCAGGACTATATAACAGCTAAATAACAAACACGATTATTCATTGCTAGGTTCAACACCCACCAGTGCCAGCTGCTGCATGGCGTTTGTCTGTGTTTTAAGTGACTTTTTCTCCAGGTGCTCTGGCTTCTTTTACAAGATGAATACCTTGATGATTTGTTTCCACAACCAGCATCTTGTAGTGCAGGATCCTTAGTCTTATCACAAAGGATTTTCATGCAAGAGTGCTGAGTATTTAAAGACGTTGTGAACATATTATGTTACAGAGACTTTCCAGTACACTTATGACTGTGTAGGCACCACAACTGCTTTTGCATAGTTTTAAAAAAATTATTGTTCTGACCTTACCTTTTTCACAAGGTTAAAAAGTTGTCATGTGACCACGCATCTTAACTAACAGATAATGGGCGGTGGTTTGCAGGACACTGTGCAGACACGCAGTCTGGCAAGATGCAGGCTGTACTTGATCATGGGGTGTGTTCAAGAGCTAGGCTGTGAATGGGAGGGGGTGTGTGCCAAAGGCAGGCTGTGACTGGTCAGGGGGTGTGGCAGCTGAACAAACTAACTCAATACAGGCATGCTGTGTGCCTGCACAGTATCCTGTACCTGAATGGCTAGCTAAAGAATGAAAACTGACCACGCTACCACAGATCAGCTTCCGTAAAAAGGTTGCTGGCAAGATCAATATGGTATTTCAGGTGGAAGAAGTTCATGAAACTGATAGAGACTATGATTTATAAAACATATGTGAATTCACTCATAGAAAACATAAAAACATATTTAGGAAAACTATTAAGGGGTTTAAGAAGAACTACAAGCAAAACTTTCTTTTACATTTTTTATAAAGTAAGGGAGGGTTATTACTCCCCATCTGTTTCCCCATTGAGGAGAGTTCCCTTCACTTCCTGTCCCATAGTCAAAACAGGAAGAAAAGAGGAAATCCCTGCACATTAAGGGAATCCCTTGAGGATCCCCAGCCCACCAGAACTAGTGTCCTCAATGGATGATTACCGCTCTAATACTTTTCTGGGGACAACCCAAAATTTGGGATTTTCCTTTACTTTCAATGATACTGGTAAACAGTATAAATACAGAGTAAATCTCCCTAACGGGGATACAGGCAGCAATAAAAACTGGGAAAAAGGGGAGGAGACCAAAGGGAAAGAGTCCCTAAGGTCAAGGGGTCCCAATGAGGACAAGTAATAAAAAACTGACAGGTGTTCTAATCCATCTCCACTCTGTCCAAAAAAAAAAGATAAGGTTTGCCTTTAGCTATACTTTAAGCTCACATAAAGAAGGGTTAGGGTGAGGGTTAAAGGATAATTTCAATTTTTGGACAAAGCGCCGTGGGTAGTTCATTGAGAACTACAAATCGACAGCCGCTAAGGCTGTCAGGACTTGTAGGCACTCATTCACAGAACTCTGTGAATGAGTGACGTGGCTGTAGCCCCGCACAGCCGCACGGTTTTCAAATCTGACAGATAGTATGCGGAAACTTCTCCCCGTACTATCTCAGATGGAGGGGGGGCATCGGGGGTGCTGCTGCGGCAATGGGAACATGTTACATGTTCCACCCTAAAAACAGGTGGAATATGTAACATGTTCCAAAGGTGAACTTATCCTTTAAAGTGAACATGAACCTCTACTGGGCAAAGTGACAGGTTTGCTTTAGAGTAGGGAGTACAAAGAGTACATTCTACTCTGTTTCCCTGATACAACTCAGAGCAATGAAAACACTGAGTTGGTGTTTAGACAATTCTCAATCCCTGACCCATTGAAAATGCTCAGGCGTAGAGACTGGCTGTTCCATCAACAATTGCTGCATTGTGGGGAACCAGGTTTTTCTCTGGTTTGGGTGAACAAACATGGTGGCAGGGGTGCAAATTGAACATAACCCTGTGCTACTTACCATCTCCACATTATAGGTCAAAGTACACATTTCTTTCAATATGAAGACAAGCATGAGTCCTTTATGAAGGGCATTGCTTTAAGGGCCAATAACAAAGGAACCAATTTATAAAGGATAGTGGATGTTGTCTACTGCACTCTGCATTGTTTTATTAAATTAATTAAATGCACAACTCTATGTCAGTCATATGGCTGACATGTCAGGCTATCAGACTGTTCTCTTACCACTGTTTTTTTTTTCCCATTCTTTCAATAATAAATAGAGCTCTGCTTGCTTGAGTCCTAAAGCAAATGGAGAGTGATGTATAGATATAGAGGACATCATCATTTCTTTATAAATATCCTCAGCAGGTAGGAGTTCTATATGTATGTGAAGAACTCATAGCAAGTTATTTGGGGAGTCATGTTTTGATTAAGTTCAGTATCAACATACATAGAGGTTTTCCAAAACCAATCCCTCACATACAGTATCTACTTAAAGTGGAAATACCCTGCATCTGAGTAGCACAAAACCAAAAATGCTATTCATTTCATTTTTAGTATTCAAAGCAAACTCCCCCATCCATCCAGGTCTCAATGCTTTATTTTGCTAAAAAATCACTTTGTAAAACACCCATGTAGCATTTCTGGCTGAGGCCATCTTGAGTAAGAGCAGATGAATTTACTTCCTGGAATCCATCTGCCTTTAGCTCGGGCAGGAGGGTGTGCTTAGCTGAGAGCCCCTCCTTCCCTCCTAAAGACTCCTGGGGTGTATGACATCATTTGCTTAGGCATGGAAACCAGGAAGTAACTGATGAAATATAAAAAAATTTAATATACTTTCCTATCTATTTAGTAATATTAGCAGCATAAGTACTAAAAATAATCAACGTTGATTGAGAGAGTGAAGTTCCACTTTAAAGATGCTGTGTTATACATTTCAAGATCAGGAAAATAGAGGCCTCTGTTGATGGAAGGTTGTTGTAGACTACGTAGGTCTATGTTTGCTCTGCTGTTCCAGGTGAACTCCTGAAACATTTTATAGACACACTTGAGATCACAGTGCTTAAAGCCTAGTACACACAATCAGAAATTCGTCTGAAAATACTGCTTTCAAAGCGATCGTACAATAATCTGATTGTTAATACACAGCTTTCGTCCAAAATTGATCGAAGGGACAAGCACAAAAATTTCTCAATATCAAATCGTACGATTTTCATTTAATCAGTAAATTTTAGTCCAAAAAGACAATACAATTATATTACATCACTTCTGAATTATTTAACCTCTTCACTTTTGATATGAGACTAACAATGGGCGATCATTCGTCCAATATTCTAATCATGTGTACGGGGCTTAAGGAGTAGGGTGGAGCTTAAATGTTGTAAAATAGCTTAAGAATGGCGACCATTTTTACTAAACTCATTTTGCCCATGCAAGAAATGTTCCAGTGTTTCCGAGCAGCAAGAGATACTTTTATGGAGCACAGCAAAGAAGTTAAAGAGTTACTAAACCCAGGACCCTGCATTCACTATATCTGGTCTCCCACAGTACACAAAACATGGAAGTGCAATTATTTTAGTAAATATAAACTGCTAACTACCTTTTCTCATCAGCAGTCAGAGCAGTCTTGTGACTTCTATCAGTGTCCAGCAGAGCACTGGTTAAAGCTTGTAGGAGGAGTTTTCTTTCTGCTCTAGGAATTGCAAAACCCCTGACCTCTGTCTGGACAGTGCTGATTGGCCCTGTGCTGATCACATGCACTCTCCCCCCCCAAAAAAACCTCTCTAGCAATACACACCAAACTGAGCATATGCAGAATGGATACGGTTCAGTTTGTCTTATCAGGATATAAGACATGGACATTTGAACAAGAGGGACGAGCAGAGATGTCAGGATCAAAAAGCCTTTTTTACACAATGCAGGGGACTAACCCCTAGGTTCCACAGTGAGTATAGCAAGCATGCTTTACTGCACATACAGACTGACTTTACTGTTGTGGGTTTAGTAACACTTTAACCTATAGGTTGTGGGGGTTTTTGGATATGGATACGCCAAGATACAACATTTTTTCCACGCACCAAATAAAGGGGTATGTGTTACTTCAAGGAGGTATGTGATGGTTGGTTAGGTAGAGTGCTTTTGATTTGTCAAGATTGATGGAGTAGCCTGACACTGAAACAAAGGATTTATTAAGGGACAGTATACTAGGCAGGGAAGATTCTAGGTGGGAAATATATAGAAGCAAGCCATCTGCAAAAGCAGTAATTTTTAATGGTTTTTATGGCCTATGGTCATGCCCTGAAATGTGGGTTAGGATTCTTGCACCGTAGCTGCAATTACTATTCCTTTACCAATAGCAGAATGTTTGTTTGTGCAGGAAACCAATTGGTGGGAGATGAATAGCAGAGGAATTGGGTTTGAATATCATCTGCCATGATTTTGGGTAATAGTTTATAATCTGTGTTAAGTAATGAGATGAGCCGGTAGGACTGAAAGAATTAAGAATATTTCCACAGTTTTAAAATTAGGGTAGTGCATGTTTCATTGAATTCTGGATATGGGGAGTTAGGTTCAAGGATGAAGTTGCAGATTCATGAGTACTGGGGAAATTTCTGCAGATAAAGAGTTTATAGAAGTTAGCCGGATAGCCATCTGGTCCAGGGTTTATGTTGCTGGCTGAGTGTTTCATGGCTTGTTGGATTTTTAGGGCAGTGACTGGGGAGTTAAAGCGGAATTACGGTCTAATTCTAACTAAGGATAGGTTCACACTGTTGCAGCTACGTGAGACGCTTTTGTACGGGCGCGGCAGCCCATTCATTTGAATAAGCTGCCGTTCCACCTAAAACGCAGCGAAAAAGTCCCTACAGCATTTTTAGAAATCACAGCCTGCACAGGAACTGCAGGTCGATTGCCAGTGTGTGGGAGCAATTTCCAGTTCTAATCAATTAGGATTAATGGCACCTGCACGCATCCAGCACATTTTTCTGTGCGGGTGGTTGTGGCTGCAGGAACAGGTGCAGACCTGCAGCAGAAACCAACCACACAGATGTGAACCTAGCCTAATGCAGGCCATAGATGGGGAGAAAACCGGCCCGATTTTTCTTTAAAAAAAAAAACAAAAAAAAAAAAATCGGTCGTTCAATCGGCCAACGTTACCAGGAACGGTAAAAAAAAAAAAAATAAATAAAAAAAATCGGCTGATTTTCATCCCGTCTACAGTTGACAAAAAGTGTCTCTGCAGAGAGCTCTGCTATTTCTTGACATTTATAGCAGCTGCAACATTGTATCTATTTGTATCCATTTCGGATACAGATGTTTTTATTCGGAAACAGATACATTGTTGCAGCCGCTATAAATGTCAAGGAACTGTCAAAGAAATAGCGGAGCTCTCTGCAGGGACACTTTTTGCCGGACTGGAACTCTTCCCTCCTCCTCCTCCTCCTCCCTCCTCCTCCCTCCCCCTCCCTCCTCCTCCTCCTCCTCCTCTCCTCGCCTCCTCCTCCATCCTCCTCCTCCGAACCTCCTCCTCCTCCTCCATCCTCCTCCTCCTCCATCCTCCATCCTCATCCTCCTCCTCCTCCTCCTCCATCATCCCTCCTCCTCCTCCTCCTCCTCCATCATCCTCCTCCCTCCTCCTCCATCATCCTCCTCCTCCTCCTCCATCATCCTCCTCCTCCATCATCCTCCTCCTCCTCCTCCTCCATCATCCTCCTCCTCCTCCATCATCCTCCTCCTCCATCATCCTCCTCCTCCTCCTCCTCCTCCCCTCCTCCTCCTCCTCCCCCCTCCTCCCCTCCTCCTCCATCCTCCTCCTCCTCCATCCTCCTCCTCCTCCATCATCCTCCTCCTCCATCATCCTCCTCCTCCTCCTCCATCATCCTCCTCCTCCTCCTCCATCATCCTCATCCTCCTCCTCCTCCTCCTCCTCCTCCTCCATCCATCCTCCTCCTCCTGCTCCATCCTCCTCCTCCTCCTCCATCCTCCTCCTCCTCCATCATCCTCCTCCTCCTCCTCCATCATCCTCATCCTCCTCCTCCTCCATCATCCTCATCCTTCTCCTCCATCATCTCATCCTCCTCCTCCATCATCCTCATCCTCCTCCTCCATCATCCTCCTCCTCCTCCTCCATCATCCTCCTCCTCCTCCTCCATCATCCTCATCCTCCTCCTCCTCCTCCATCATCCTCCTCCTCCTCCTCCATCATCCTCCTCCTCCTCCTCCTCCTCCATCATCCTCCTCCTCCTCCTCCTCCTCCATCATCCTCCTCCTCTCCCTCCTCCTCCATCATCCTCCTCTTCTTCATCCTCTTCTTCTCCTCTTCTTCTTCTTTCTTCTTTTTGTCTTCCTCTAGCAGGTCACTGCTCATGCACAGATTTTTTTATCGGTAAAAAGATCGGCCGATTTGCCCATAATTGCCATGAAAATCGGCCCCCGATCTTTTTCCAACTTTACCGATAAAAAAATCTGACAAAATACCGAAAAACGGCCGACCTATTAACCCACTAACGATCCGAAAATCGGCCGATTATATTTTCGGCCGAAAATTTGGCCGATTTTCGACCCATCTGTGGCCTGCATTAGCCTATATCCAGGGGCATCCAGAGGAGAGTTACCAATCATCCCTTAGCAGCTCTCAAAATTTCCACTCACCCGCTCACATTGGCTGAGTGGAAATAAGGTGGGGGCTTCTCAGTGCCCAGCCCCTCCCTCCATCCTTCGCACCAATAGGAGAAGAGGGGAGAGATGCTGGATCTGCTTTGCCTCCCCCTGTGCGCAGGGGCATTTATAAAGAGATTATTTACTTGCAAAATTTTATAACAGATACAAAGAAAAAACACTTTTTTTTTTTTTTCGGTATTGTTAGAAGGAAGGGGTGGGTGTAAGGAAGGGAGGGGTGGGTGGAATGAAGGAAGGTCGGACTCGCATGCTCAGTCAGATGCATCAGAGCTGTTGGCTGCTCTGTGTTCAGTTTCCCACCCACACATCCTCTGAAACTGCATGAACTGGAGTGTGGGCAGCACACTCCAGTTCCTGCAATTTCAGAGGATGTGTGGGCGGGAAACTGAACACAGAGCAGCCAACAGCTCTGATGCATCTGACTGAGCATGTGAGTCCGACCTTCCTTCATTCCACCCACCCCTTCCAACAATACCAAAAAAAAAAAAAAAAAAACTGTTTTTCTTTGTATCTGTTATAACATTTTGGAAATAAATAATCTCTTTATAAATTTAGAATTCCTCTACAAACCCAAATAAGTGTAAATTGTTTCCTCTACAGGAAAGTTAGAGTTCACAAACTATAGTATATATCTGAAAATCGAACATTCCTGATGTACTGATAGCCGATCTCATTTCTTGAGGCCCAAAAACACCAGGACAGTACAAATACCCCCTAATGTCAGGACAGCACAAATCCCCCCAAATGTCAGGACAGTAGAAATCCCCACCAATGTCAGGACAATACAAATCCCCTCCCAATGTCAGGACAATACAAATCCCCCCCCCCCCAATGTCAGGGACAATACTGGTGACAGCATGTAAAAACAAAACTTTTTTTTTTACAACTTTTTTTTTTTAACACTGTGACCAGAGCAATATGATGTTACCATAATAACATTGTAATACTCTGGGGAAGTGATCAGGATTTTTTCTTTTTACACACATTACGATTGCTTATGTCAGTGAATTTCACTGTTAGCAACCATTTTTACTGAATGAAATTGATTAATTCAATGTTTGCTATTGTGGCTAGTTGCGATTGGCACTGTCTGTACCACAGCGGCCGGTACACTGATCGGTCATCCGCTGTGTTTGGAAGAGACACAGCAGTTGACAGATTTTGCCACAGCGTGGCCTGTTCCAGGAGGACATCATATGACATCCACCCAGAATGGTGAATGTCCCGCCTTGCCATCATATGACTATAAGCCGAGCAGGAGATGGTTAATGTTGCCTCTTCACCGCCTGTTTAACCCATAAAAACCTGCACCACAATCCACATGGTGAATGAGTTGCATTTGATGGGTGCTACTGCCTGTCCACTGAGTGCAACAGCATTTATAGCTGTTGCCCCCCGTCAGCTGCCTTTAGAGCTCAAGCAGGAGAAGTTGGTGTGGGTGGGGCGGTAAAAATGCAGTAAAAGAGCTGGAAAAAAAAATTGTCTATATGTACCTATTCTAAAGCCGCTCTGGTCATATGATCAGGTCTCAGAGCCAGCTTCACTGTAGAAGTGGGACAGCCGACAATGGATGCCCCATAGTAAGCCATACATCTGTGTATTAGGAAAATAATTCTGCAGTACATGGTTACAGCTGGATGTGAAATATTTCGCTGTTTGAAGTAACCTAGTCTTCCGGACCATGAAACTATCTTTTTCAGGAAGAAATTTGTCTACAGAATGATAGAGCTACAGCACAACTGTGATATACTATCCTGAAATGCAATCAAGTTTAGGCTAGGCATCTTGTTTTTATTTACTGCTATAACTCTTTTAATCTCCTCTTTAACCACTTCTATGCCGGGCACTTTTACCCCCTTCCTGCTCAGACCAATTTTCAGCTTTCAGCACTCTCGCAATTTGAATGACAATTGCGCGGTCATGCAATGCTGTACCCAGACTAAGTTTTTAATCAGTTTGATTACACAAATAAAGCTTTCCTTTGGTGGTATTTAATCACTACTGGGTTTTTTTTTTTATTTTTTGCTAAATTAACAAAAAAAGACCAAAAATATGGAAAAAAATACGTTTTTTTCTTCATTTCTGTTATACAATTCTGCAAATAAATAACGGTTCTTCATAAATTTAGGCCAAGATGTATTCTGCTACATTTCTTTGGTGAAAATACCCAAAATTAGTTGTTATTATTTAGTCTGTAGGAAAGTTAGAGTCCACAAACCATGGTATATATCAGAAAATCAATCAAACCTGAAGTACTGACAGCCAATCTAATTTCTTGAAGCCAAAAAAAATGTTAGGACAGTACACATATCCTCCAAATGACCCCTTTTTGCAAAGTAGACAATCCGAGGTATTTAGTAAGACGTCTGGCAAATTTTTTGAAGTTTTAATTTTTTTTTTGTCAGAATTTTACGGAAATTTCAAAATTTTTTTTTTTACCTACTGTTACCATTGCAGTACAGTGTCATCATATAAAAATAATTTAATTGCTATAAAAAAGAATTTATCTGAATGAAATCGATTAATTCAGGTATTTTGTTGTGATTAGCTGTGACTGGCCACAGCTAATCACATAGCACAGATGGGCTGTGATTGACCCAGTCTGTACCATGTGATTACTGTGACTAACCACAGTCAGAGACACAATTGTATACAATGAATGGCATGAAAGGAAGCCATCCATTGTTTACAATTGTCATGTGACCTGCTGCGATTGGTCACAGCGGTCACATGGTACTGACAACGGGCTGGTACACAGATCTGTCATCGGCTGTGTCCGAGGGACACATCCAGTGACAGATCTTGCCACAGCGTGGGGTACGCGAGAGGCACGATCTCGGATGACGTCATATGACGCCCACCCGGATCGCCACAAGTGCTGCTTGGTCATCATTTTGCATTGGTCAGGTGGGAACTGGTTAACGTGATCTACTCCACTACAGGACATTAGAGCTCTGCTACTGGTCTTCGGCACCTGCACTTTAATTATCTACAACTGGCAGTATTAAACGCGAAATCAAAAAATGTAATATAGCAGCCTAAAAGTTATTAGATGTGGTAGCTGCATTAGTTTTCTTTTTAGGCTTTTTTCACCTTTATTTTCAACTGGTGATCCAGCCAGTAACACACTTCTGTCTTAAGAGTGTCTCCACTCAGGATGGAGGCGCAACGCAGACACCTCTGGACAGCAGTACTGTCAGTCTAGGGAGAGGGTAGTATTATGCTGGCCATACACTTTATGAAAAATCAGCAGAAATTCTAATAATCTGAACGTTCAGCAGCCAATTTGTTTCTCAGATCCATTAACTATCTAATAGTTAATGATGAGAAACGATAATTGTTTTCAAATTTTCACATTAAAAAAAAAACTGACTGAAAAGTTAAAAATGTCCTTAATTTCTTAAAATATTTTAAAGGTTAGTGGCTTTCACGTATGCTGAAAATCGTTACAATTTTTCGTGCACATGTGCAAAGTCAGTTTTTTTTTTGTCATTTCCTTACTAATTTGACCAAATCAAACGTGATGGTAATATCTTTAGCATTGCCGAAAATTGTTTTGTTTTTCGCAAGCGCTATCGACCGATTTTTTTTGTATACTGTATGGCCAGCATTAGACTAGCAGATTTAGATGGACTTGACTAACAAATAAAGCTGAAATCCAGCTAACAGTTATAGCAACATAAAGAAAGCTGACCATTGTAAGCATCCCTATCATTGTTTCTCTCTACCCTCTAAGTGCCACTTTTGCAGGTCAGCTTGGTCTGTTGAAGGCAGTTGAAAAATAACAGACTAAAGCTGGTCATACACAGATCAAAATTTGGCTGGTTAAGCAGAACACGGTCGAATTTGCATCTGTACACAGAGTCCTATCTGATATACGATCTGTACATACAGTCCTATCTGTTCAACAGATGCCGGTTGTTAGACTGCCTTCTGTCGAATGGTCCTGCTGGAAAACCAGCATTCAATTAGTGCATGCAGCCAATTGGGTGAAGGGCTGATCAGTGTATTTTGATGGCGGGGGGAGTCCTACTGTCAGAATACAAAAGACACAGCAGGAAGGATTTCCTCATCCACCCTGAGTGTGTGGATGGGGAAATAGGTTCAGTTTTTTTCTGTTCAGTCAAAATGAAAAACTGAGCCAAGTATGACCAGCTTTATTGGCCACATCACTAGCTGAAAATGAGAGACAGAAAGCTTAAAAAATTAATGCAGTCACTACAACCAAGAATTGGCAAGCTGCAATATATTTAGGTCTTGATTGAGTTTAATACTTAAGGTAATGACGGGCGCAAGGCAGTTCTCTCGTTAGGGAGAATGTCACATGACGTTCTGCCTTTCTAAACCGCGCATGCGCGGCTCCGGGAGCGCAGAACGATCGGTGGTGCGCTGTGTCCCTCGGACACAGCGGATCACCAATCAACGGAAAGAGCCGAAGATGTCGGCTCGGTCATGTGATCAGCTGTGTCCAATCACAGCTGATCACATGTAAATAGGGAAATGCCAGTTATCGGCATTGCTCTCCTCACGAGCTGTCATGCTGACAGCTTGAGAGGAGAGGAGAGCCGGTAATTGGCTTTACTCAGAGGGGACATGTACACTGATCATCAGGGCACTGATGATCAGTGTGCCCTGATGATCAGTGTAGCCCCAGCAGTGCCACCTGTCAGCGTCCATCTGTGCCAGCTGTCAGTGCTCATCAATGCCACCTGCCAGTGTCCATCAGTGCCACATATCAGTGCCTACCAGTGCACATCAATGCCACATATCAGTGCCCATCTGAGCTGCCTTTCAGTGTTACCTATCAGTGTCACCTATCAATGCTAGTCAGTGCCGCCTAACAGTGCCACCTATCAGTGCCATATATGAGTGCTTCCTTTCAGTGCCCATCAGTGATGCCTGTCAATGCCCATCAGTGCCACCTATCAGTGTCCAACAGTGCAGCCTATCAGTGCCCATCACTGCAGCCTCATTAGCGCACATCAGTGAAGGAAAAAAAAATCACTTATATACAAAATTTTATAACAAAAACTAAGTGGTTTTCAGTGGTTTTTGGTTTGTTTAGTAAAAAACCAGCTCTGTCTCAAAAAAAAATGATAACAATTTCATATGGGTACAGTGTTGCATGACCGAAAATTGGCCTGGGTAGGAAGGGGGTATAAGTACCCTGTAGGCGAGTGGCTAATTGGGAATCAGTTGTGGCATCCTCTCTTTCCAACATCTTATGCTACTTCACGCTCTTTTTTTCTCCACTTGCTGTCCTTCCTCTGTACTTTCTAAAAGACCTTGTAACTTTTCTATTTTTGGTTACGATGCCATCAAATAATTTTGTTACCCTTCCCCTCGCATATCTTCTGTTTTGTGTACTTTATCTTAGTAAATGTAAAGAGATATTAAGCCATTAGTTTTAGGCACTTTCAGCATTTGATCACTTAGTGAATATGCAGCATCTTTAACTTTTAATCCTTGAAATGTTCCAGGTTAAGCTGGCGCTGTGACTGCTGTCCAAGGTTTTCTGGGTGCCTCCTTTCCCCTGAAGCATCCTATGGAGATTACCTTGCATGCATGGACTAGAGCTGTGTCTCTCTACACTGTGTGCATCAATAGAAGCACACTATCCCCGTAGCCTAGGAAGGCAAAGCTTTCCCCCATTCCTCCCTCCTCCAAGTTAAAGACTGATTCCTGACTGCACTGTCCACTGTTAATTCTTTCCTATGAAGACTGGAAGTTCACAGAAGCAGCTCTGAGAGAGCAGGTGCCAGCAGCAACTGAAAGTTGTAAACTGCAAGTGCTGGGGTAAGAATTTTTACAGATATCTTACTCTGGAATGTTTACTTTAAAAGTCTTAATGTGTTAGGCCCCTTCTGTTCCGCGTATGCAGAGCAGACACAGGCACAGCCTACTATGAACGGTCGGATGTAAATGGATTGCCTGTCCGTTTACACCCGACTGCCATCTGTTCAGATCTGCTAGACGCATCGGATGTCGGTAAGTATAAACGGAAATGTGTCCGTTTACACCTGCTGCTCCAAAGAGCAGAATGGAGGGTCCGATAAGGTCCACCTCAAAAACTGACAGCAAACCTGATTTGTCCTATTGTGTGAAGAAAAAAAACTGAGGGTTTAATAAGAATTTAATTTCTTAGGTTGCTTGGGACTTACATGTCAGAACTGGTGTTTAGAGACCAAGGTCTAATTTGGATAATTACTTTTAAGTTTTCATGTATTTATTGAACATTTCATAGAAAACATGACAAGCTCACAGTTCACCCTCGCAGGAGCGGAAATAAACAGTCACATGTAAAAGCTAGTACAAGTAGGCAATGTATCATGTTAAATCAGCAGGGATCTAACCACAACCAAGGAGGATAGAAGGACAGTCAAAGCCAAGCTGTCCTCTATGAGGTAATAATCCCCGCTAACAAGTATCAGCCAGAAAAAAAGGAAGAGGGAAAAACAAAGATGGGAAAGGGGGGAGAGAGAGGGAAAGGGGGGGAGAGAGGAAGGGGGGAGAGAGAGGGGGAGAGGGGGAGAGAGAGGGGGAGAGGGGGAGAGAGGGGGGGAGAGAGAGGGGGGAGAGAGTGGAGGGGGGGAGAGAGAGAGGGAGAGGGTGGAGAGAGCGAGGGGGAGAGAGAGGAGAAGAGAGAGAGGGAGAGAGAGGAGAGGTGGGAGAGAGGGGGGAGAGGGAGAGAGGGGAGAGAGAGGGGGGAGAGGGGAGAGAGAGGGGGGAGAGGGGGAGAGAGAGGGGGGAGAGGGGAGAGAGAGAGGGGAGAGAGGGAGGGGGGGAGAGGGGGGAGAGGGGAGGGAGAGGGGAGAGAGGGGGAGAGGGGAGAGAGAGGGGGAGGGGAGAGAGAGGGGGAGAGGGGGAGAGAGGGGGGGAGAGAGAGGGGGGAGAGGAGAGGGGAGGGAGAGAGAGGGGGGAAGAGAGGGGGACGAGAAAGGGGGGAGAGGGGTGGGAGAGAGAGGGGGGAGAGGGGGGAGGGAGAGAGAGGGGGGAGAGGGGGGGGAGAGAGGGAGAGGAGAGGGATGGTGGGGAGAGATAGGGGGAGGAGAGGGGGGGAAGAGAAGACAGGGGGAAGAGAGAGAGGGAGAGGAGGGAGAGAGAGAATAAGTCAAGAAAGAAAGAGTATCACAGACCGAGCAGGCAGCAACTATAATATTATCCAGGGTTCCTAAACTCTAAGAAACTTCAGATGTGACTCCTTAAGAATACTGGACATTTGCTCATTGACCATCATGGCAGTCCAAAGGAGTCTTCCTAGCTTGAGCTATAGTATGTTTGGCAGAGAAAAAAAAGATAGCCAATTTCAGCTGGGTTGTGAAAAGGCCCGGAATAGGACAATGCACGGTGCAGTTTCTACAAAAGAAATGTTTTAGACCAGATGAAATGTGAAAGAAACCTGTCAATACATTCATCCAATTACCCTGAACACATATGAAACTAAAATCTCTCTTTCCTGATCTCCATACTTGTTCCAGGTCAGTGAAACAGAGGGAGAGATGTACGAAAACTGGAGCGTGCAAAATCTGGTGCAGCTCTGCAGAGAAACCAAATTTATCTTCCACTTTTTATTGTCAAAGCCTAATGTAAAAAGCTGAATTTAGAAGCAGACTGGCTCCATGCACAGCTGCACCAGATTGTGATTGCACCATTTTTAGTAACCCCCTCCTAAAATATGCTAGCAATTAAACAAAACAGCCACACAACCAGCATTTTCAGAAGATGGTCAGCAATGGCAGTGTCTGCATTTCTCCCATGACAGGTTTACTTTAAATAACACACAAGTAAGATTGTTTTGGTATACTACCTCTCAATCAACATGCTCTGCTTGTAAGGTGGTATCTGAAAGAGTAACTGCTGCACCAGCTTTTGGGGGATAGTGAAGGAGCCTTTCAATCATTTGAAATGTACGATAATGGTCCATGGTGTCACTCTCAAGGACATCAGGTCCTGCTCCAGTCTGATCAAGAATTCCACTTTTCAGTCGAATATTGACAGCGTCACCCACTGCAAGACACAGGTGTAACAGACTTCAGCTCATATGGTTTAGGTCCATAGGAATTCATTTGGGCTTTAAAAGGTAAACTGTATTTAAAACGTTAGGGATGGATATGATGAGCCGAAAAATACATATGCAACTGTATGTCAGAGTATTGCCCACTTATAATGAAAATGCAAATCACACAATGATTATACACTGATCAGCTATAACTTTTTGACCACCCACCTAATATTGATTACATCCCCTTTTGTTACCAAAACAGCTATGACCCGTTGAATAATGGATGCCACTAGACCTCTGAAGGTACGCTGTGGCACCAAGCCATTAGTAGCAGATCCTTTAAGTCCTGTAATTTGCAAGGTGGGGCCTCCATGGATCGAACTTGTTTTTCCAGCACATCCTGCAGATGCTCGATTGGACTGAGATCTGCAGAATTTGGAGCTCGAGTCAACACCTCAAACTCATTACAAATGTACTTGAATCGTTTTCGCAGTGTGACAGGATGCATTATCCAGCTGAAAGAGGCAATTGCTATCAGGGAATACTGTTTCCATAAAGGGGTATACTCGGTCAGCAATAATGTTTAGGTATGTAGTATGTATCAAGTAGCATCCACATGACTGGCAGGACACAAGGATTCCCAGCAGAACATTGGCCAAAGTATCACTCTGCCTCCACCGACTTACCTTCTTCCCATACTGCAACCTGGTGAAATCTCTTCCCCAGGTAAGCATTGCACACATCCACATAATTTAAAAGAAAATATTATTCATCAGACCAGGCTACCTTCTTTCAATGCTCCGTGGTCCAGTTCTGATGCTCACGTGCCCATTGTAGGCCCTTTTGACTGGACATGGGGCAGGTTGACCACTCTTATGTAGCCCCATAGACAACAAACTATGATGCCCAATTTTTCTACTTCCAACACATCAATTTTAGAGAAAATACGTTTACTTGTTGCCAAATATATCCCGACTTTTAGATGCCATTGTAACAAGATAATTAATGTTATTCAGTAAATCTGTTAGTGGTCATAAAGGTATGGCTGATCAGTGCATATTACAGAAAATTGTTATCGGATACTTACCATAATTTACCTTTCCTGGGCCTAACATCATGTCAGCACACAATGGGTTAACTCCTCCTCTGGAACCTACAGGACCACATTTTCTTAGCTCAATAAAAGACAGTCCCTCCGCAAACTGAAGTATTTGACAGCCTAGCCTGCAACAAGCCACTAGGGAAGGGGTCCTGTTCTGACAGGAGGATAGACCAGGAAATGAAAATTATGATAAGTATCTGATAACAATTTTCCGTATTCCTAGCCTACCTCACGTCAGCACATAACGGGATATAACTAGCAGAATAAGTGGTTGGGAGAGAATACATGAAAAGAGAGACCGACAATCAAAAGAAAATCTGCTAAAGACAGAAGAATTTAGGTCACAAAATTTTTCAGAACTTGCTAACCGCATGTCTAGTTTGTATCTCAAATGAAGGCCACACAAGAACTTCAGCTAGCGGTCTTCCATATATATTCCACTGAAATCCTTGCATAACTGCCCCAAGGGCTGCCACCCCTATGGTTGATTGCATGCCAATCTAGTCACCCTGGTAATTAAATAGAAGTTTCCTCTTTAGGACCTGATGGCAAAATAAAATGGTTGTCCACTTTCCTCATGTCTTTTGACCTTTGCAAGAACACTGTTGACCATGTGTAAGGAACTGAAGCCTTCCTGCTTTGTACTCTGTGACTCTTGTGCAAAAAGTCGTAAAGACTGCCTCCCAGCTTTCATGGAACTGGTTTCCACTTTAGAATTGAGCTTTGGAGATGGATGTAGTATTACGATTT